TCCATCTTTAACATGGTAGAACGGGCTCAACATATTTAAACATAACATAAAGTGCATATTCAGCATTTCTCCCATTTCTGCAACTGATATTGCACATCATAGTTAACCAAAACTGCTTTCCTATTTCCCACGCTGGCACATTTTCATGGTTAACGTTCATGAAGTGTGAATATTGCCAACCAATATTTGGCATTCCTAGTTCGTTCCTCCAATCCTATAAAGGCTCTTGTAACTCAGCCAAGCTTATGTACCCCAACATGTTTTCCCGCCTTGTTCAGATATTCACCCAACGTCAGCCTTCGATATGTCCATCAATCCTATGCATTTTCCCATTAGGATTTCATTCACTCCTCCCATCTTTTTTTGCTGCTGTCCTTTACCTGACACTCCATTACTTTCATTTGTGTTCTTGCTACTACCTGAACTTATGTCGAGTCTTAAGTAAAGAACATGGTTGGCTCCAGATATGATGGCAAGATTGGACATTGGCTGGGAACATGAGCCTGGCATTCATGCCTTCTACAGAACGTACAAACAGGTCAGAAGCAGCAAGAGAGGCCAATGTCAATTTCACAAGTATCCTTTCTGTTTAGTTTTAAATATAAAATCAAAATCAGGGAAACCCAGGGGGAATTTTACTGAAAAGCAAAAGCAACATGCAAAACGAAAATTGCCTAGTATGGGGTCACTTTTTTGTATGGGCAATGGCAGCAGGGAGAAAGGCACAGTACAAGGGCAAACGAGAGCTGAAAAGAAGTGTCACGGCCGGGAGATCTGTGGCGTGATCTCCCAGAGTCTTTTTTTAATACAGTGGTACCTCAGGTTAAGTACTTAATTTGTTCCGGAGGTCCGTTCTTAACCAGAAACTGTTCTTAACCTGAAGCACCACTTTAGCTAATGGGGCCTCCCACTTCTGCCGTGCCGCCGGAGCACGATTTCTGTTCTCATCCTGAAGTAAACTTCTTAACCTGAAGCACTATTTCTGGGTTAGCGGAGTGTGTAACCTGAAGCGTATGTAACCTGAAGTACCACTGTGATCAAAAGCAGCTACATGGTCCTCCAAATTGGATTGGGGCCAGTCTTTTTCTGGGATGGGAGGTTTTAGTTGACTTTCCCCATCACGCCAATTTCATGACTTTAAACTTAATGAATTGCTATTATTCGGGGGGGGGGGGGAGAGAGAGCTGCAATGTGGGTATTGGGTACCATTGCTCTGCTCACTCTGCAGCTAATATAAACTGTGGGAAAGAGTTTAACCTTTCCTTCCCCGGAGCCATGCCCCTAGTGCATTCTGGAAGACAAAGAAAAGTACATTGTGAGATCTTGTTGCAGATTTCTTTGCATTGTTGTAGCTTGGTCCAGTTTGGCCAGCATGCAGAGTAACAACATGACACATGTGTGGGTGCACAAGGTTTAACTATCCATCTCCATACATTTTTGTAGCTTGTTTTGTTTTAGAAGGGGCGTTCATGATTCCTCAATGCAGCAGAGCTTCACCCATGATTTCCCCAATTCCCAGTCTAGTCGGCACATACAATCTCTCCTTAAATAAAGTTCAACTTGGAACTGACTCGTGGTATACATTCAGTGTTGAAAAGCGCTAAAACCTGGACATTGCTAACCTTAGCTCAAAGCCACCCATCCTTGTTGCTTTGAGATGCCTTTTTCCCTCCTGTTAACTGTCGATGCAGCAGTGAATGAGTCATTGAGGGATATTCTTGGATTCCATTATCTGGAAGCTGATTACATCATTGCCTCATTGCTGTGGGTCTGAAATACTAATTCTTTCTGTCAGTCAAACTATCCTTTTTGCTTTCTCTCATATCTTCTCATAAGCAGCATTAGGAAGAGTGATTTTCATTGCTAAATCTGTGTCCTCCTAGCTGGCAGATTCTCTTTTCTGCAGGGTGGGGTGAGGATGGGCTTTCTTTCTTTCTTTGCCACAGATTTTAGCTTGTTATTTCAAGAGCACTTGTGCATTAAAGAACTTTGAATTTGAACACACACACGGTGTTAAGATCTTCTCATGTCATTTCATATTGATAAAGGTGGGAGTATTGAATAATAATAATAATAAATAAATAAATAAATAGGGGGTTGTTGGGTTTTTGTTGTTGCTGTTGCTGTTACTGATATTAATTTTGTGTTACATTATTTTTGGATCTTATGATTAATGCTGAAACTTCAATTTGATAGTGATCTTTTTTGATGTGTTCTATTTATTAAGACTACTTTTGTAATTACCGTATTTTTCGCCCTATAGGACGCACTTTTTCCCCTCCAAAAATGAAGGGGAAATGTGTGTGCGTCCTATGGAGCGAATGCAGGCTTTCGCTGAAGCCTGGAGAGCGAGAGGGGTCGGTGCGCACCGACCCCTCTCACTCTCCAGGCTTCGGGCAGGTATCTGCAAGCCTGGGGAGCCCGCGGGAGTTCCTGCAGGGCTCCCTAGGCTTGTGGATAGCAGCCTGTTCTGGGGGCTGGGGTTGGGGGAAGCTCGGGCTTCCTGCACCCCAGCCCTGCGCCTGGGGGGGGGAATAATTTTTTTTCTTTATCCCCCCCCCCAAAAAAAACTAGGTGCGCCCTTTGGGCCGGTGCGTCCTATACGGCGAAAAATATGGTATGTGAATATTTTCCTGTTGTAAGCCTGGTTTTAACTATGGAAAGGCAGCATACAATGATAATGGTGATGATGAAAGGCTGTAGATGGAATTAACAGCTGAAAGCTGAAGGCCTGGTTGAAGAGGAATGTTTTTGCCTGGTGCCTGAAGATAAGTAAGGAAGGTGTCAGGCGAGCCTCCCTGGGGAGAGCATTCCACAAATAGGGAGCCACCACAGAAAATACCTGTTCTCGTGTTGCCACCTTCCAGATCTCTCATGGAAGGGGCACACAAATAAGATGATTGCAGGGTCCTGGCTGGTTCATACTGGAAGAGGCGGTCCTAGAGGTATTGTAGTCCTGAGCCACATAAGGCTTTATAGGGTCAAACCAGCACTTTGAATTGGGGCTGAAAACCAATTGGCAGCAAAGCTTTTATTATTGCTTTACTGCAGCACTAATCACCTGTTCCCATTTGACATTAAATTAGCACCAGAGGATGTTAACCAGAGGTTTCAGCATGACTCTTGAGAGGCATTAGGATGGCCTCCCTGCTAAAGCAATGGCGACTAGCTAGATGATTTGGAAACTCAGACATAGGACAAGGGTAAAGACTTCCTGGTCAAGAGTGAGTGGTTTATCTTTTTGTGACCCATACACTTATTTGTATTTATTTGAAAGATTAAAGTTTGTTTCTTACCAAGCTATAGGTTAGACAAGAAGCTGAGGACACCTCCCACACCACCCCAAATCCTGGGAACTAGTTTAGCCCCTACAGAGCTGCAATTCCTAGCACCCTTCATGATCAACAGTTCTTGGGATGAATGTGCTTTAAATGTGCTGTAGTGTGGATGCAGCCTGAGACCATACAGGATTAACTTTTTCCTTGCTGTTGTAGCATAGTCTCTCTCTTCCCCTTTTCCTTTTATTTTTCTTTTTTTGGGGGGTAGAGTAGCAGGTAGCAGAATTCATCTTACTTGAGAGAGATAGAGGCAAGTCTGTTGTTTGGTCATAACAGAAAGCTTAGATGAAAGTAAGGCAAGGCCCCCCTCCCCCCATTACATCACATGCTGTTGCAATGGCTGTGGTGGACAGCCATCCAAATACTGAGAGACCTCAAACAGTTTTTAAAGAGATGCTGTTCTGCCGAGTTAGTATAATCCACAATAAGCAAGATTGAAAGGATGGTAAAGGATCCAGTCAGCAGAAGAGAAGACAGGACCTCTAAATCACTGTATGGAATGAAAAAGATTCTAGTGATGCCTCAACGAAAACTATTGGTGCAATAATCGGGCTGAGTTGCCGAAAAATATAAAATCAGGCTTTGAGATATTAGCCATTAGTAAAGTTGGAATACTGAGATATTCTGTTAAATAAGCTTCCACCTCTCTACAAGTCTTGGGGAGTGTTGCTAGAGAGTTTTTCATGTGTTAAATGTGTGATGAAAGTTTAATTATATATGTTTACAAGACATATTATAGTATATAAATGTCCTGCCTCACTTGTTCCAAGGGAAATTTATGATATTTAAGTACCAATGGTCCCCTCTCCTGGTCACCTGCCTCTGCCACACACACTTCAGAGCCCTTTCGGTCCCTGACACTGCCTTAAACTGAATCAGACTGTTGTTTCTTCTAGCTGAGTTTTGTCTGCATTTACTGGCAGCAGTTCTCCAGGGTTTCAGGCAGGAGACAGATGCCAGGGATTTGAACCCAGGACCTTCTGCAGGGAAAGCACATGCTCTACCCCTGAGCTGTGGCATTTCTTTCATAAAGCTTCTTTGTGTTTCCCACGGCAAAATGAGTAATCCATTTTGTCAAGTGTTGTGTGGACAGAAAAGAAAAGTGTACTAATCTCTTCATTATTTTATCTGCCCTGATAATTAAAACGTAGTTATATCTGTAAATAAATTTAGGACAAACAACAACAACAACAACCCACCACCACCTCCCTCACACATGTTTTTAGATACGTTGTTATGTTTTTAGAGTGGCTGGGGAAACCCAACCAGATGAGCGGGGTATAAGTGATAAAATTGTTATTATTCAACTATCTGACTTTTAGAAGACATCTGAAGGCAGCCCTGTTTAGGGAAGTTTTTAAGGACTGATGTTTTTATTATGTTTTTAGAGATGTTGTTAAGCCGCACAGAGTGGCTGGGGAAACCCAGCCAGACAGGTGGAGTGTAAATAATAAAATTATTGTTATTGTCACAGCAGAATAGCCATAAAACCTGCATATTATTGGGGATACTTTTGCTCTTTGGTTGCCGTTCCCAAAGAATATTCTTTGGCAACAGATCCTGAGAGTGCTGTGCTGATTGAGATCACGAACGAGTCAGTTTTACGATATTCTTAAGAATCACGAGGCTCCTGCTGGAAGACATTTAGACATAGATAATGGATTGATACCTACACACGCCGGAGGTTGTACTCTGTGAAAGTGAGTACACCAGTAAGGGAGGAGGTGCCGTGTTGCTGTCCATTAATGGAAAGGCTGTGGAGGGAAAGCAGGCTTACAAATGAACATCCTGGAGCGACAAGAGAAGGCAGGATGGTTTCCGAGCAGCGCATCCTCTCCCCTCAGGTTCCATGCATTCGCTGCGGTGTGGAGTTAGAAATATAGTGCCATTTACGCACTGTAACTACTGATATTCCTGTTAAACAAATGGACGGCAGAAGGATGTTCCGAAAGTATATCTTTCTCAGATCCTCTGTGTTGCATGTAGGAATCCAACCATTCTAGCTTTTTCAGTCTTCCAGGTATTGTTTGCCACTCCTCCTGCTGCTTTTCAAATAATTTTTAAAGGAGTAATTGCTGCTGTTTTGTTTTCCATGATGTGACTGAGAGTGTGTTTTGTGTCTCTTCCCCTCTCCCTCCCCCTTTACACAGATGCAGAAGATGGCATAGCAACGGATCCAATCTTCCACCAAACTGGGGTCCCTCTGTGCACTGCAGTTGGACTGATGTGAAGCCTTTGTTTTGGACTGGAGGAGCTTGCCCACAGCTTGTCCTGAAATCCATTCTCTCCTAATTCATGAGCCAGCAGGATGTGGTCGCCGTGCTTTCAGAACGCCTTCTCATAGCTGCATACAAAGGGCAACTGGATAATGTTGTGCAGCTTATCAACAAGGGTGCCAAGGTAGCCGTTACCAAGGTAACAAGAGAAAAACTCCTTACAAATTCATGGAGAACTAACCTCACTCCCCAAGCCATTCATTCTTTCTGATAAATGTTCTTTTGGCTTTGAAAATCTAATTGTTCGAGGAAGTGGTGCGGACGAAAGTATTTGATTTCCCCACCCCACCCCCAACTTGGGCCAGTTTCATTTAAATGAGACACCATTTAGATGTGAAATAATTTTCCTTCTTTTTCTGCTGTTCTTCCTTCTCCAAGGGAAAGAAGCCTAGAGCATCATAAATGTGCAGAGTTGAACAGTGAATCCACTTCTATATTTTTCTCAAAAGTGCACACTGCATTTTGCAGGGCAAAATTAATGGTTGTGGGGGGAGGGAAATAAAAATGAAGTTATCTGGGGCTGCCTGGAAAAAACAACACCTCCTCTGCTTTAAAAAGGCAGAGAGCATCCTGTTTGTCTTGGGGAATGTTACTCCAGCTGTAAATAATATATTTTAGGGAAGAGGACTAATGGCTGGGAACATAGTGAATGCTTCTAGTATACTGTGTAATCCTACTGATTGTTCAGAATTAAGGTTTGGAAGGGGTGGGTGAGATACAGGGTTTGAAAACTTTGATCTAGCATTTTTGAATCCAGCTTCCAAATTTCACCAAAATCTTGTTCGAAACAAAACTGTTTTCCAACCATATATGTCTACAAATGGGAAAATGACAAAAATATACATTTCTCCACGTGGAAGGAGGGTGGGAGTCTTTGCATTTTGTGTTGTCCTAGCCTGGAGCCAAGAAGTTGGGAATAGGGTGCTTCTCCTGTGTTGCTTTTATTCCATTCTTCCAGAGGCCAGCGGTTTAAACACACGCTGCTGTTCAACATGAGTGGAATGAAAGTTGCAGGTCTTTAATGGTAGGTGTGGCCACAAGGACCCTTCCCCCAGAGAGTGGTCATTCGGGTCAAGGATGGCACCAGAGATACTTGAAGGGGGTGGTGGTGACCAGGAGGTGGAGATGGCCTTCCTCAGGTGCCTCCCATATACTGAAAATGTATATGGGGCAGCCAATTTGCACAACATTCCAGGCTTCTTGGCAACTGACCTCACTTCTCTTACCCTCACTTTCTTAACACATAGGTAGGAGGGAGATTTGTTTCACCTGGGAAGCACCAAGAACTTCAATATGTCTGCTAGTCCTAACATGGGGCTAAGATTCCAGTTGCTCTCCTAGGGAGGAATGTACTTCTCCAGGAAGTACTGGATATCAGTCTGTGCTACCAGCCTACAGACAGTGTGTATTCCTGAACCCTGTAAAAGGTTGTGGGGATGGACCCCCCAGGATGCTGACAGTCTGTTCACCAGTCTGTGACTCAAAGGTGCCCCAAACAGCTGAGCATCATTCTGGTGGAAGAGAGGGCTATTCATCTGGAACTACTAGCCTATCAAATATAAGTAGCTGGTCAGTGAGTCCTTAGAAGAATGGACCGTGCACCTGCCAGTTCCACATAAATAGCAAGGAAGACAAGTGCACTTGTCAAATCTACGCTCCTAGAATGGTTGGAGTTTTGTGCAATTCCCGGTGAGAGTTGATTGTGATGGTTCTTGTGGGCACAAGCCAAATTGAACAGAAAAATGTCATGAGCATACAGAAAGAGCCTCATGGGTGAGACTGAAGCATGCATTTAGTTTTCCTGTTGAAATAGATGGGATATTGTAATGCTTAACTTTGAGTGATTTATGCCTTAAATTTTAGACTTGCTTCAGAGGTGGCATAATTTTAGAAAGCTTTGAGCTATAAATTTGGTAGCTACATAGGTGTAGTGCAGTCATTCTCCCAATTCCCATTTGGGACAGGGTTTCACCTATCTTTATAGGAATGCCCAAAGGAAAATTACAGACACATATTCTACTGTAGATGCAGCTGCAGTTGCTTATAGCAGGAATATACATTACCTTAGCATTGGAATGTGAGGTCCCACTCCTGCAATAGTTCTGCACTTCTATACAGGGAGAATATCTGCGGTATGGAAGAATCTCTTTCAGTGGAATGGGGTTAGGATGAATATATAGCACTGTGTGCAAGCCCTAAAAATCTGTGCTAGGCACAACTGTAGCTCAGTTCAGTTCTAATGTCTTTCCCTAACTGAACCACTCTTTTATATTCATCCATCCCTTTGCAGTAAGCCTAAGCTACATTTCTTCTTCCCCAGTAGTATTTCCTTCTTTAGTTCTTCAGTTACAAGGCGGCCCCTTTCACTCTATCCTTCCAGAACATTGGAAGCATCATCTGACATGTTATCTTGGAAGCTTGCAGGTGGAAAAAAATGTTCTGAGATTATTTCACTGACAGGCTGCTAATGTTCATTTTCAACCCACATTAATTTTAAGGGCTGGAGACAGCTCAGAGTTCAGAAATGACAGGGTCCAATCTTAACGGGTAAGATAAATCCTGTAACAGAAATGTCTCCCATCTGAAGCAATGAATAGGATTACAATGTACTGCAGTGCCTGAAAGTGCCCATTTTTTGTGCTACTGGTGGCTCAGTGCAGGAAGGTAGAGGGAGGAGTGGGCACATGGGAGGGACTCTGAGGGTGGAGTCATCAAATGCACCTCTGTCCCCCTCTTCACTTTTAGTCCTCGCACATTATTTCTGACCATCTGTAGAGGGTGAATGTTCATGAGGGCATATGACTTCCAATATTTGAAGAGATTTTAGAATAAACTCTTATCTATCTTCTTCTTTTTTTTAAAAAAAAGCACACTGGCTAAAGATAATGAAAATAGACCCCTGAGGAAACACTGGAACAGTTATGGAGGTATTCAAATCATTCTGAATTCAGGCTAGTACACACAGAACTCTTTAAACAGAAAGGAAGAAAACAGCATTTTTGAATTCTTGTTTACTTGAAGCAGCAACACATGAATTAACGTGGTCTTTCACGGTCTAATAATATACTAGGTAGTTGTTTCAGCTTGCTGGAATTGAAAGAGGTTCCTGTTTTCCTTTTTCTTGACTGAAGGCCAATGTATCTGGACAAGTTATATTTAATAAAAAGACAATTCAAGTATACAAAGTCCAGTAACTATTTTTTTAAAAAATGCCTGCAAGTTCAGACATATACCTAAACTTGCTCTTAACACTGTCATTGTTGGAACTATTCCTGAATTAGGGCCAGTCTACACATTGCAGTGGTCATATAGTGTCTGCTTACTAGCCTTCTCGTGGTGGCTATTCCATGTATTACTGTAACACAGAGAAAGGCTCAGCATGTACTGCAGATCTTTCCAAACTGTGTGTTGGGCGAAGGCTCCCTGCACTCCTCCCGGGGCTGGAAAGGGGTTAGTTTAACCTCCAGTTTGCTAGCAAAACTGAATTCCTGTGTCACGAAATGATGCATGTCGAAAAAGTGGGTCACCAACATGAAAAGTTTGGAAAGCTCTGATGTACTGTATTAGAAAACATTCCTTATTTCTTCAGCACTGGTTGATACACGCTGCTACTTCATCGCATAGGTTGTTTCCATGCCAATGTTTAGGGGCAATTGTTTGGGTGGAGATGCTCCATGTCTTGAAGGAATAGGACAGGTTTATAGAGGCAGAGGTAGAAATAACTAACTGAACTGAAAGAGAAACACCGAACTGACCTCTGTATCTCAGAAGCTCTCTGTAATGCATCCTTAATGGACCACCAAGCATCCCCACCATGCTCTTTAAGACACAAGGAGGAAATGTTTTCCACAAATGTGTTAAGTGATATGCATGTTTCAGCAAAGTGTTGGCTGGAGATTGGAAGTGTGTGCTTTGGCAGGGAAGTGGAGGAGAAGTAAATGCCATGGAAAAGAAGTTAGAAAAGGACATGCAGAAGGGGTGGATACGGTGATGTTATGCAGCAGCAGGATAAAGGGTGTTGCATATATCAAATCAACTGTGTGTACTTGGTCATATAATTTGTGTGCGCGCAATGGACCTTGCACACCCAGTGTGTTGTGTCTGTGCAATAGCATTTGTAAAAATGTATGTATATGTGTGTGTGTGGGGGGGGTTCCATCTTATTGAAAAATTAATTGCCATCCCAATATGTGGAAATTTACCCCAAGGCAAAGGATCTTCAGTCTCTTTGCTATGTTATACATAAGACACAACAGCAAGTAAGCAAAACCAAAACCATACAGCATTCCTGGAATATGTATGAACTTGCTTGGCTTTAGACCTTTCAAGGAAGTAAATCAAATTATTCCAGTTATGTAGATTATTCTTTTCTCTTTCTTTTGTTTCTACCTGTTAAGTCCACCACTTTCGTTCCATCTGCCTGCCATAAACAATTTTCTTTTTCTTAAAGTGTTTTTGTCACCTAGATAAGACCTCTCTATCTTGTCCCTTGGCTAGTGGCAGAGTATAAATCTCTTTCTAGGCCCTACAGGCAGACAACACCATGTTGTTTACTTCCTTTTCTCCAACAGCCTCACCTCCTTATTACAGATTGCTGGCTGTGTGCCACCTCACACCCAGCCACCCTGCAAACTTCAGAATTCACATTTCCACTATCCCTTTGGAAGGGTTTTTTAAAAACATTTTTTTGAAAAGTACATTCTGTCACAGGTCTTTCTTCCCTAAAAATCCTAAGGGCTCATCCACACTTCCTGCTTGTCCCGTGCTTAGAACCCATGGGTCTGAGCGATTTTCTGCTTCTCCTGCTGCTTTCCCCTGGGGAAACTCTCTCTTTGCCACTGAATTGGAGCAAAGTGGAAAACACAATTGACATTTGCTCTGATTCAGTGGTAAAGAGTGGGATTTCCCAGGGGAAAGCTGTGGGACAAGTGGAAAGCAGGATCGAGCCCTAGCATTTTCAATTTTCAGAATGTGCTTGTGAAATGACAGACAGGCATATCTGTGATGCCACATCAGAATCCAGCAAAACAGAGTTCTGTTAGTTGGGTTGGAAGTAAGCTTCAAAGTATAAACCATGTTCACTTGCCATGTGCTGACTTGTTGCCAAATGTTAGTGCTGTGCCAGCTCTGGTAACATACGTCTCCCACAATCAAGTGTGGAAGCACTATTGGGGAATTACTATTGCTGACTATGATGTACTCTGGCATGGCAAGTTCATGTGGTCATAGAAGACCCTGCTGCATCCACTGTTTGTGGACCCACAGCATTGGGTTGACTTTAATGTTGACTTTAATGACAGCCTTTGAAAAGGTCCTGTTTGAATCAGATCAGACTTGTATATGTGGCCATCAAAGCTACAGCTTTTTGTTTGTGGAATTTAAGAACTTTATAGATTCACACATTGCCTGAGACTTTTTGAAATGAGGGGTGGGGTGAGTTGTGCTGCAGACACCAAGTAAATCAGTTTGAGTTATAATATAAAGAAACCAAAATGCACAGGAATAAAGCTGCTTGAAAGCATATTGGAAGAACGTTCTGTTTTATAAGGCAGGAGTCATGTAGGCCATGTAATTAAATGAAATAGTCCAAATATATAAGATCACAGTGGGATTAAAATGACATTCTGTTACAAACTTGATCAAATGCCTTCCAAAAGAAATGTTTAGCTAGGTAAGAGAGGTTGCCATTAAAAAGACCCACCTTGGTATCCTTACTAGACCAAGTCATCTGAAACAGAGTCCTGGAGGATGAAGACTCCCATTGGACAAGGCATTCTTTTGACTAAATGACACACTTGCATTTTCCAAGAGCATCTTGTTACTCTTTAATTCCAGGACTCTTACCATTAATATCTGGTAGGGGAAGAGTGGATGGATAAATAGATTGTGGTGATTTGTTAATTTCAAGTATTGGTTCCATTCACCGTCTTCTGACATAGCTGAGGATTCTGGACATCTGTTTTGCTCATAGTTGTGTCTTCATATGATGATCTCTAGAATGGCAACCAAACCTTAGGACTGATTTGTTTTGCTTTTTTTTCTTTAAATATATCTCAAAGTTGCAGTTAGATCAGCCAGGGACAGTAAAAAAACAGACAAGCAGAAAACAAGAACAAAACCCTGCTGTGGGCTGACCACAATTATGATCTCACTATGCTGGCAGCCTTTATACCAGTACGGTATTATGTAATGTAACAATCCTATGCACTCCCAGCAGCAAAGTAAAAAGCAAAACAGTGCTTGTAGAGGCAAGAGATAACATAGTACACAGCCACTCCCACAAGTATTCTTGGCAACTCTGCCAACACCTGCCAGCCATGATGTTATGCCCCCATAATACTCATGCAAGGTACCAATCATCAGTGGTGATGGTGGCAGCATCACGATGCTGTCACAAGTCCCGGCCCATGATGTAGCTCCAGACATGTATCTTTCTATGGGATCTGTGTAACTTTGCTGCGGGGCTGATGTATATGCTGCCGCCGTAAGTGGCTATTGAGCTGGTTGGAATTCTGTTGTCCAAGGTGGTTGTATTAGGGTTACCATGTGTCCTACAGAGGACCACTCTCTCTTAAAGAGTAATGCACCCAAGTGTGGTTTCAAGTTAAAGAACTATAAGAAGGGAGAGCAGGCTTAAATATGCAACTAGGCAGCAGATTAAGCAGATACGCACATTCCCCCTGGGTAACTTCTTCCCACTGAGGTGACATTTATTATCTTTCTAGTGATTCTTTCGAAATGTGCATCTAGGTGCATATATATGCAAGCATATGCACGATTTATGCAAAGATATGTCCTCTCTTTTTTGGTGCGGTGTTTTCTTTTTTGGCAGTGCAGAACTGGCAACCCAAAGCGGTGGAGGCAGAAAAGGAGACACTGATGCGCAGACCAGTGGCTTTACTTAGCTTTTTCTCTTTTTCTGGTGTAATGCTATCTCCTTGTTGATAGAGGGACATATCCCCTATCCCCCCAGAAAGTATAATTTTGGGGACTTTGAGCAGTAATTCAGTGAAACTTAATTGGAGTTCAGGTGGATATTATTTGATTGTCACTTCCATGGATGTTTAGTTCCGTTTGGTTAGTTCCACTAGCTAGTCTGCTGATTAGTATATCCCTAATTACAAGAAACATCTAACTTTGCAATTAGTTCATGATCCCAATTTGTTCATCATGTGGTGCCCCAATTATGGAATTGTTTCCACAGATAGGTCCATCTGATGCCTGTTTTGTTGCATTTTTGGTGCAATGCAGACATTTTTTTTCCAGCCTTTCCTGGCTTAATTTAGTTCTGTTGATAGTTTTTTTAAAAAAGGTCTTCCTGCCTTTTGTTTATGTTTTTATGATTGCTTGGTCGGCTTTTTGTTTTATTTAAATAAAAAGTGTGTATCTTGATAGCTGTACTTCCTGTTTCTACACTCATTCTTTTCTGAAAACAACAGATAACACAGGGGTGGGGGTGGGCTTCTGGTTTCTATATATATTTGGCTGGCCACTGTGAGACTAGAATGATGGACTGGATGGGTCTTTGGCCTGATCCAGCAGGACTCATCCTATATTCTTACAGTCATACCTCATTTTTTCAAACGTCTTGGCTGCCGAAGACTTTGGAAGCCGAACACCAAAAACCCGGAAGTGAATGCTTCCATTTTTGAACGCGCCTCGGAAGTCAAATAGCTTCCGATGTGCATTTTTCATTTCTTTCCATTGAACTTGCTGACAACCCTTTGATCCTCGGTTTTCGAGCGTTTTGGAAGTCAAATGGACCTCTAGAACAGATTACGTTCAAAAACCGAGGTTCCATTGTATGAAATTGATGATTTTATGTCATTTCAATGTTCACAGAGCTTTCTGTTCACTATGAATGATTTCTGTGCTCACTCCAAAGGATAATGATAAAGAAAGTCAATAAAATAATATGGGCAAAATTAATCAATTTTAAAAGTCGCAGTTTATCTGGGTGTAAGTGCCATTGAACTCTGTGGAATTTACTTCAGAGTAGACATGCTTCAGATTGCACTTCAAGTTCTTTTGCTTTCTGTTGTACAGTTAAGCACCTGCTTAAATCCCTTCCATTGAAATAAATGGACTTCACATTGCTTAATGTGCCAGTGTGGTGTAGTGGTTAAGAGTGGTAGTCTCGTAATCTGGTGAACTGCGTCCGCGTCTCCGCTCCTCCACATGGCAGCTGCTGGGTGACCTTGGGCTAGTCACACTTCTTTGAAGTCTCTCAGCCTCACTCACCTCACCTTCGTTGTGGGGGAGGAAGGGAAAGGAAAGGAGAATGTTAGCCACTTTGAGACTCCTTCTGGTAGTGATAAAGCAGGATATCAAACCCATACTACTACTACTACTACTACTACTACTACTACTACTACTACTCTTCTTCTTCTTCTTCTTCTTCTTCTTCTTCTTCTTCTTCTTCTTCTTCTTCTTCTTTTTCTTAATATTGGTTGGTTTCTTCCATATATGCCAGCATTTATAGTTGTTTGCTTCTAGAGTGAGTTGGTTTGCTGGCCTAAAATGGAATTCTAGTGGGAAATGAAAGTGGGTGTGAAACAATGGAAATTAGGAGCATCTGATACTCCTAGAGAGAAGTGCAGGTTCATGAATACAAAGAGAGGCCATACATTTGTAAGTTGGTGGTGTTGCAATATTCATTTAATAGGAATGTCTCTGGTATAAGGTTGCTAACATGCTGCATACCAGCAACTGGCTTTGAATTTTTTTCAGCAATTGCTGCCTTCTGCTTTACAGCATGGGAGGACACCTCTCCATCTTGCGGCTTATAAGGGTCATCTCCGCGTTGCCCAGATTTTGCTCAAAGCAGGCTGTGATGTGGATCTTCAGGATGATGTGAGTAGTTCTAACCATTCTTACGCCAGGGAAAGCCCTTGTGTCTCTGCGTTAGCAGTCCAAATAACACTGCAACAAGTTGTCTCTTTTTAGAGACTGATTCTGTTTCAAAACAGATGTTTGCTTTGTTTACTAAGGGTACTTCCAGATGGCAGCTTAATATTGCAAACGGTTCGTTGGAAACAGGCTTTTCCTCTGCGTTGGATTTACACAGAAAGTGTAAATCTGAATTATTATTATTATTATTATTATTATTATTATTATTATTTTGTGGGGAGGTTGGCATTTTGATGCTGACAAAGTTGTATGGTTACTTCAAACAACAACAGAACCCTGCATGCAGGAGAAGCATTAATTCCACAATAAACCCCTATCTGGAAGCTCCCTAATTTTGAAGCTTTATAGGACAGCATGTAACTGGGATGGTCAAAGACAGTGGTCCTGTAGATGAGTGCATTGGGGCATATTTTCAAAATCTGCAAGGATCCTTTTGCCAAATACTTTTCAAATTTTAAGCATAAATGAAGGGTGGATGTTGCCTAAAAGGTTTTTCAATATGGTGTTGGACAGGCACCAAGTGTTTTTAGATTTCACAGGCCTTTCCTTTCTCCAGGAAGCTCAGAGCTAAGCTGTGCTGAATGTTCACATCTGCAAACTTTCCATGTGAAATTAGTGCTTTGCGGGAGCTGAATTCCCACCCCTGAACCTTACTCATCTTTTTCACTGCTGTTCTTTTCGGTTCCACTTTTCTTAGAGCTGGAAACTCTTCCCACCACCCACCATCACATCATTCATGCTATTCAGAGGTGTGAAACCCATGGCAAGAATGCTTGCATTTATAACGCTCAGGACATTTCTGAGCGGAACCAAAATGCTTTATGGCATGGAAATCACTCTATTTTTGTACTCCTAGTGGATGGTTCTTTGCCATTCATTGAACTAATATATTGTGATCAGCCATAAGATTAAAAAAGAAACATTGAAAGAAGCCTTTATTTTCATATTTTTGGCAGAATTTGACTCTCATAAACTCTGTGCAGCATGAATACTGTTGTTGTGCTCAAACAAACTTTTACTAGCTGGGGCGAAATTGGTTTTATTATTGAAAGTCACATTATGTACAAGTTATACAGAGCGGGTATAATCATTTGATGAAGTAATCATATTCTCTCTTCCTGTAGCTTTCATCCAGCTAGTGGATAGCAAAGATGAAATCCAATTGTCGTATCCAACTAGGTTGTATTCAGAGCTTGACTTAAGTTCATTGAGTTTTTCAGTGGATCTGCTCTGGGTATGGCTAACGTTGAATTTCATTCAAGGTCACTGTGGATTTTTTTTTATCCTTTTACATCCCACCTGAGATATTTGTATCTCTTTTATTGATTGAATGTGTTTATATTCCACCTTTCCTTCAAGGAGTTCAAGGTGGTGTACAAGATTTTCCATCCCCAAATTTATCATCACAACAACCCTCTGAAGCAGGCTACCTGAGAGGTAGTAATTGGCCCAAGATCACTCATTAAGCTTCATGGCTGGTTGAGGATTTGAAGCTGGGTTTCCTCAGTCCTGGTAGCAACACTCCAGCAACTAGACAACGGTGGTTGTTGTACACCAGAAAGAACTTGCAAATGTGGACTTAGAAACATAGTTCTGCGGCCTCCTGGATTGCAAATATTCTCAGCTTTCAAAAGACTGTCCTTTATCCTGTTTTTTTCCAGTGAACTGTGAAAGTCAATAACTATATTGTTTTTATATCCTATGTAGTAAATACATAATTGCCCAATTAATTTTCCATCTGCCAAATGTTGCATAGCATAAAGAAACTCTTAAAAATGTTGTGGAGGATTTAAAATGCTGACTTCATGTTCTACAGATGTTGATCGTTAACATATTGTAAAAGACCTTATCATTAGTTGAAGAATGACCTCCAGTGGCCTTGAATGGGATTATTATGAATTTCAGCCTGTGGAGACCAGCTCTGTAGAGTATGAAACCCCAAGAAGTAACTCTTTCCTTCTCCCTGCTAATCCTGCAAGCCCTTATTGGAATCCTGATGCCATCTCTGATTGGTCAATGAGTGTTCATACAGCACATACCTCAGAAATAGTCAAGGGAAAAGTGGCCCTGGTTAAAGAAGTCAAGGAAGAAAAAGATAAGAAAAAACAGAGGAGAAAGGCTAGAAAAGATCCTAGAAGATTGCAAAGAGAGAAGGAGGTTAGAACTGTTAACTTCAGCTTCTCTGCGACACAGTTGCATGTACCATTTGGATTGGCCATCTGGCATGTCAGAGCTACTTTAAAAGTGCATGGTTGCATGTCTGGCTTTTTTAAAATTATGCTTTGCCAAAAGGTTACCTACCTGTGTCCTTTTCACACAAGAGTCCCACTAATTGTTTTGTGGTTACCATATTTAAAGGAAATGCTTCCTGGGAATTGTTTGCATTGCCAAAATCTAAAGCAGAGGTGGAGATCTTGTGGCTCTCCAGGTGTTACTGAGCTCGCATCTTCCATTGACCCCAGCTAGCCTGGCTGGTGATCATGGATGATGGAAGTTGTGGTCCAGCAACCCCTTGTTCAATGCATTCCCTATGCCTGATCTGTTGTACAGTTCTGGACTCATAAAAGTCACTGGCCAGCTATGAATGACCTTGCACTTAAGAAATAGTTTCTGCATGAAAATAATGGAGGGTAGACGGGTATACTGTGCCTCAAAGGTGGCTCTTATTGGCTAGTTTTGGCTAGTTGGACATTTATGTTTCGGTGGTGCATACAGCAATTAACACTGCACAATTTCCTCTTCATTTGTCCACCTTCATCCTCCGTAGCACATGATGTAGTCGGGACTAGGGGAGGAACAGAGCTCTAATTATTTCCCATGATATTTTGAGTACACAGTTGCACTCTTTTGTGTTGAGTGAAAATACCCACTTCACTCCTAGTCATTCTTATGTGCTATCCTGTGTGGATATATACAGATGTAGCTGATTTACACATGACTTTGATAGCCAAAGCAAGCTGGCCTGGACAACTATTTATAAAACAGTTTCCCACCTTGATGTTGGTTGTCTTTCAATTACTCTTTGTTATTGCACTGGAAATGCATTTTTCTGTTTGTGACTTGAGATTCCTTTTAATTGGAGGGAAATGGTTCCCAGAGCATATGTTGTCTTCCTCAAATGCCAGTATGTTTAATAAGTCCTTTAATGAACTACATTAGTTTTTCTTGTTGCTGTCACTCTGATCTAATTAAAATAATTGTTACAACAAAATCTATCAAGCGGGTGAGCAAGTGGGTCTTTTGTTATGAAACAATCATCAGCCTAATCCATTCTATCTGCAACAGCTGGCTCTTGAGCCGTGCCAGTTAGAAGGCTTTGAGTTTGAGCTGCAAGGGAATCATAGTAGCTCATTTCAGTCCCATGCATCCCAGTGAAAAATGTAGCTTAATTTTATGATCTTCTATAATTTGGCCTTATATATTTTTTTGAAAATAACATTTGAAACAATAAGAAAATAGTAATTGAAAGAAAATAGTATCTGAACATGCCTGCCACTCAGAGTACTCTCTGTTCCTTGAAATGTTTGTACAAATAAAATGGTCTCCTGCTGCTATCTGAAGATATTTTCTGTACTTTCCCCAATAGCTTCACAATGGGTCAAATTGCAAACTGTCACATAACCACTTTGCTGCAGGCTAGGCATTGCATGGAGCCACTCAACTTACATTCCAGCTTCTTTATTTAGACTGAAAACAGACATAGCTTCTAGGAATAGTGGATGCGGTTTGAACATGCGTTGACCTAGTTTGCATGTCACGGTAACCCTAATGGTGTACCATGAAAAGGTTTTCCTGTCCTGTTCATCTCCCTACTAATGGTGGGGCAAAACAACCAACAGCCCTGGTTTAGTGTTAATGTCTGATCCATGGGATGTGGTTTGTTTCACTTCAACAAACCAGTTAGGAATCCCAAGGGCAAATATTAGTGACAGATTGTATGGTTTGTTGCGAATGAAACAAACCATCACCCCTAGTTCTGATGTAACACTCAGCCAAGGGTCATGGCCTGTTTCTTCCTCTTCATCAAATATAAGCCCCAGTAGTGGCCAGCAGGTGTGTGTTGCTGCTGGTTACCAAGAGGGAGGGCAAGGCAGTGGGGAAACTGGCATGTTGTGGGTGCAGTGTGGGGAGCTGTGATGCTGCAACTTCACTGTGCCAAGCTCCCTGCTGCCGCTCCCTTTCTCCTCTCAGTAACCAACCGTGACACATGGTGTTGGTAAGCCAGGAGAGCAACACAGCCCCACTGGCTGCATAAGGCTTAAAAAAACTCCCACCACATGTCCAAATAGTTGGTTGACCAGTCAAACATGCGGCCTTTGTAACTGCATTCTTCATTGGGCTATCTAGATATCAATGGATATTGCAGACGTCAGTCAAATTGCCTGTTAGTTTGCTGAACTTTGCCTGATTTTGTTCCATCTGAAAGAACTAGATGATTGAGGAACACTCAGAGCTACTTGGGTGATTCTGAGTCAGTTAATCTGCTGATCTGGTGATACATAGTGCTAGGTAGACGTTTGCTAGGGAGGACATATGGTGAGGCCCATGATTTGTAAGCAGTGTGTGTTGGAGTGGGGTATGACTTTCAGAATCGTAAGCTACCAGCAGTTAATGGTTACGTCATGTAATGCTTCTGCAAGGAAAACCATGGGGTGGGCGGGCGGAGCATGATAACCTCTGTGGCTCACCACATACAGTTGTCAGCGCATTAGTTTTCATGCTGCAAAACTTCACATGTGACAACAACCTACACTTAAGTTTCATGTTCTTCTTCTTTTTCTAAATGGGAATTCTTTCTGTGTAGGAAAAGTATAACACGTGAAGTGACCTAATCGCTTAGGTTGTCTGCTAATAGCTAGACCAGTGTAATGTTGCACAGTGAGAACATTCTGTAGAATTTGGAAACCAGAGTGTGGCTTGCTCTTAAACTCATACAGTATTTCAGTAGCACTTATGGGGATGGGATGTTTTGATGCGGCTAATTGATATGCATGTATGTTGATGTAGATTTGAAATAAAATGTGTGTTAGTAAATAATGGGTGCTCTTTGCAGGGTGACCAGACAGCTTTGCATCGAGCTACCGTTGTGGGGAACACAGATGTAATAGCAGCTCTCATCCACGAAGGCTGCGCTTTGGACAGACAAGACAAGGTTATTGTCAGTTTTGTGTTTATTCTCTTTCTGTGTTATGTTGTCATCTCTGGAGGAAGCTCTCTCCAACTTGTTTGTGTCATTTGCTGTAGAGGAAATAAATATAATGCAGAATAACACAACACAACACAACTACAAGCTCTTGAAAATACACATCTGTATTGAATTGGTAAACTTCATTTTTTTATAAGTAACTATCAGTCATAGCTAAATACAAAACAACACAGCATATGGCAACATACACGCACAGCAGCATCACTGTAAATACTGTAAATACAATACTTACAAAAACTTAATCTTTGTACTAGTTCTAACCAGAACTAATTCTAACCAGGGATTGCACCTAGCTATGGTTTCTAGTGTACTTCAAACCCTGGTTAGCCTCAGGTAAATTAAATGTTGATGCTGAGCTGATGCTGGGTTAACAAAGATTGGGACCAGGAGGGTTTTACTTCCTGAAAAAGGGGGGGAGAGAGTGGCAGTGAGTATGCCAATTCCCATTGTCTGCATATAGTAATTCAGTCATTTAATATGGCATCCAAATAGAATTATAAATAGCACCTCCGGATGTATGCAGTATTTTCTCTGTATGGACACAGTACTCTAAACTGCTGCTTTTCTTCTGCCTTCAGGATGGGAACACAGCTCTCCATGAAGCCTCTTGGCATGGATTCAGCCAGTCTGCCAAACTGCTTGTTAAAGCAGGCGCAAATGTTCTTGCCAGAAACAAGGTGAGATGCATGCAGAAAGGAGCATTCAAGTGCTGCTCTATAAAAAAAGGAAAAGAATAACTAATTTTTAAATGGGAGTTTTTCCTCATCAGTAGTTTCCAGCAGAGGCATTTCTGGATAAGTGGCAGTGCATTTTCTTGGCAACACTCTTCCATTTCATTTAAGATGGACTATGCCTTGATTATTCTCTTTGAGGGAAAACTTGTATTCTGGCAGTTGACGCATGCGCACACACCGCTCTGTTGGGAGTGAATGTTGCATTAATTATGGCTGAAGAACTATCATAGTCCTTCTAGCACCCTAATCAGTACAGAAGCGTGTGAAAATGAATTGAACAAACAAGAAAATGTCAATTAAAAAAAACCTGTTTATCAGAAACAAGAAAGCCAGACACATGAATGGCAAAACTGAGGGGAAACAGCTTGTCTTCCATGGGACTTTCAGACACTAGGATAAGCTCTTGTTGCAAACTTTTGAGAGAGACTCAGGTGTTCTTCCTCCTCTCATCTATATTATGTTTTGAGGAACGTTTTGCAGAGAGGACTGGGGGGGGGGGGCGCAGGGACAGCAAAAGGTTGGATCCTGTCTTTTTCTAAGTCAGCAAGAGTGTTTCCTTTTGCATAATTCCACTCAGTGGAAACTCCCACCAGCAGAAAGCAGGGAGGTGACTTTTGCTAATTGTGCCACCTTTCATGCTGTTCTTCTGCGTTGGTGAATCTTTCAGAACACTCTTGGAAAAAGTTACTAGAAGGTGTTTGTGTGTGTGTGTGATCACAAATCGAACAAGCCAAAAGGTGAAGGGTCATAGGGTATCCCTAATGATGAAGCAAATCACTTAAGACAAATTATGACATTACTAAAAAAAATGTTAAAGTGTGGGTTAGTGTAAAGATGAAATCCTGGTACTGTAGTGGCAGCCATTTTCCTTAAAACACATCTTAAGGACTTAGAATGGGCACAAAGTCCCTTCTTAAAAACTACAATCACACTTTTCAAATCTAGATGGAAACAAAGTGATTCCTATCCAGTTCCCATTTACCTCTCCTCCTCCATGTATGCTCTACTTTTCTATAACAAGAACAGAACCCAGTTGTTGTTTTTTAAAAAAGTAGCCAATAAACTAGAATTATACAGGATTAGGGAGTTCTATTATAATGACCAAGAAAAAGAAATCAGAGGAATTTTAAATGAACAAGAGCACCCTTGGTTTGAACTCAGGAAATTTAAGTTTATTTATAGCAAAAGATATTATCAAACAGCAGGTAAAAAAGAGAATTAATGTTGTTTTAACAGCTGATTTTGGCACTTTTTAATGCCAAAGGGCAAACTACCAAAATTTATAACAAAGTTATGTATAGGTGATCTAACAGGATTGTAAGAAATGATGTGAGGTAGTTTCTTGTTATTTTCTAAAGGTGACTATTGTGTTTCCCTCCATCTCTTTTCTAAGGCAGGTAACACACCACTACACCTGGCCTGCCAAAATAGTCATTCCGAAAGTGTTCGGGTCCTGTTGCTTGGAGGCTCTCGGGCTGATATAAAAAATAATGTGAGTGTTACCAAAATCTCCAGATTTGATAGAGAAAAACCCTCAAATGCAGCCTTTGAGTATTGTGGCCGGTCCCATTCCAAATTAATTATCAATTGAATGGTATTGAATGAGTTTTCTGAAGGTTTAAAAACCTGTACATTTTAACAGGAGAAGAGCAAATTTGCAATCAACCTAATAAAGGCAGAAAAACATTTTATAAGGGCAGCAGGGTAGCTTGTACCCCAACCTCATATCAATGTTGCCTCGTGAAGCTGCCCCATTCCTCTCTGCCTTCAGTTTCTTCCGGTGTTTTGTTCCTCCATTTTTCAATCAAGTGCATAGAGCATACTAGAGTCAGAAAGAATTAGTGTTGTTTATTTTCCAAGATAGCAATTGTGTTGTACCTTAAAAAACCCCCACATCATCTGTGTACTTACGTGCATATGTATAATCCCATCAAACCCAGTGGAGCTTATTTCTGACTAGACCCATATTAGGTTGGGTCACCCAGGTGAAAATTGACGCAGGGTAGTCTTTATTCCAGATTAGTTAATCCAGAGCAGGGGCGTAGGAAAGGGGGGGGGCGCCCCAGGTGCCATCATGGAGGGGGGTGACAAATTATCAAGGAACAATTACTGCCCTACTAGGGCACTTCATAAAAAAACTTTTTTTAAAAAAATGCCTTCTCCAAAGGTCTTACCTTACTACACTATGGATTATATAGCTACATATGAAATTTCATGCATATCAGTGAAGGCTGAAATTTCAACAAAGCACGTGCCTTTGCTAGACTCTTTTCGGGTACCTGCTAAAAGCATTCTTCTTTAGGCAAGCATACCTAGAGGCTTAAGAAGTTGAAGTACCGGTAATTTTAATCTCCGCATTTTAGCTTTTGTATGTTTTAAAGTAGGATTGTTAATTTTTCTTGATTTTACTGCTGTGGTGTTTTTTGTTTTGGTAAACCACTTTGCAGGTTTTTTAAAATAAATTTTATTAAATAAACAAACAATAAATATAAATAAAATAACACAAGCCAAAACACAATCCACATTGACGTATCTGTCCATAGTCACCTACTTGTTATCAGAGGCTCAGAATCCACATTCCTTTGTAAGAAAATATGAAATAACGTAAAACCATTTTTTCAGGCAAATTTTTTTTAAAATAATCAATGGGGGGGGTGTGTGACAAGAAATTGTCTGCACCACCTGACCTTCCTATGCCTCTGATCCAGAGCAGTTCTCTCTCTGCTCCCACCTGCCATTCTGGCTGCACCTACAACTTGCATGAGGCCCCCAAGAGTTTACCCCTGGGAGAATGTGGCCCTTGACCGACAAAAGGTGGCCTCACATTTGCAAACTATAAGTATAAACTGGCTATTGTTATTGAACCATAGTATCTTAGTTACCAACTAAATGGGCCATGGATATTGGAGGGAAAGAAGCATAACTGTTCCATGTGGTTAACCAGATTTCCAGTGTACAGCACTTGCCCCTGCATGTTTACCCAGATGCATATTTCCTCACTGTTTATTCCACAGAACCACAGCTTTAATATGTTAAGGCATCATGTTAGCTTCCTTACTGTGATTTGCCTCCCTTATTTTTAGGCAGGAGACACCTGTTTGCATGTCGCAGCTCGATATAATCATTTGCCCATCATTAGGGTGCTCCTCAGTGCTTTCTGTTCTGTCCATGAAAAAAACCAGGTCAGTGCATGAACTTCATTGCCACTACGCTCCATTTTCTATAAGGCTTTTAAAGTATAATCTGATTCCGGTATTTAGAACAAAAGAGGTGGCTGTTGTGCTTTGAACTATGGAGAAAGCTTTTGAAATTATTCCCCTTTTAATTAAAGTGCTGCTATATCATAGGTATTATTTTGGCATCAAGAATTGCCTTAAAGAAATGGTGTGTCCTTAGTTTGTCACATCAGAGCATGTTGTTGCATTTACATTTCTTATCTGTACTATATATATATATATATATATATATATCTGTAAATGAAAAGCTGCAACATTGAGTCTATGCTCCTGCTTCTGCCATGACTCATTCCATGGCATCTCGCATAGCTCATTGCAAATGCTGCAACCAGCAGGAAGATCATTCAGCAATTTTCAAGTGGTCAGTGGGTGGGGTAGTTTGGGAACCACTGATTTAAGTCACACCATCATGGCTATAAGACTAAAATGAAGTTTGCTTCTACTGCCTTGTTGTTAAACACATCTACTTCAGAACATTGTAGAAAAATATACTTCAAAAGTAAAAATAATAAAATGAACACATGTAACCATGTATATGCCTAGTCAGCTGCCTCGTGATAAAAATATTATTAGAAATAAGAAAGAAAGGAAGCTGTGGTGACGTATCATGAACCTTGGAGGTACATTGATGCTCGTCCTGTTTGCACTTGCCTTCATCATCTGCCACTCTCCTTTGGGACCTTCTGGTCTGCAGGGCTCTGGAATTTGGGTCCAAGATGCAACCTTAGTTGCACTGTTGACTGGATTGTCCAAAGGAATTTAAGATGCTGTGGAACAAGCGTGGTGACAAGTGTTGGCTGTGGCTTCCATAGGATCCTTTACAATAGTTAGCTACACTGAATTGCTAATGTGTGACAAGTCTCAAAGCCAATATACTGGGGAATACATTTGTGGGTGTGGGTGCTTTTAAATGGCTTTACATATCTTCACTGCTGTTTTTAATAGGGCTATTTTTTTATTTTTAAAAAAATCCGATTTATTATGCATTTTTAGTTGTTTCTGTTCTACTTTATTCTGGGAGCTGCCTTGGGTCCTGCACTGGCAGAAAGGTGGGGTATTCAACCAACCAACTAGTCTGCTAGAAAACAATATGGTAATACAAAATGTGCACCCTCCTTATGGGTGGCACAAAATGGTGCTGTTTGTCCGGACCTCAAGGCAGGGCATGTGCAAGTTTCATTCTGCTTTAACCTCTAGGCTGGCGACACGGCACTTCATGTAGCTGCTGCTCTGAATCATAAGAAGGTGGTCAAACTGTTGTTGGAAGCAGGAGCTGATGGCACAGTCATTAACAATGTAAGCACTGAAGTCCTTATTCTTACTGTTTCTAGTTATTTTTTCCTGAGTGTTGGATGACAGGACAGCATTGATGAAAGGCGTGTCTGGTTCTTTTAATTTCTAAAATGTCATTTGGAGAGAATCGTGTTATCCTTTTCTCTTGCAGGCTGGTCAGACCCCGCTAGAAGTTGCCAGAGAACATGACAACCCCGAGGTTGCTCTTCTACTCACTAAAGCCCCACAGGTACATTATGAATACAGTTCATTAATGATCGACTCAGAAGCATTGGGACACGGGTGGCGCTGTGGGTAAAACCTCAGCGCCTAGGACTTGCCGATCCCCGCGGCGGGGTGCGCTCCCGTCGTTAGGACCCAGCGCCTGCCAACCTAGCAGTTCGAAAGCACCTCCGGGTGCAAGTAGATAAATAGGGACCGCTTACCAGCGGGAAGGTAAACAGCGTTCCGTGTGCTGCGCTGGCTCGCCAGATGCAGCTTGTCATGCTGGCCACGTGACCTGGAAGTGTCTCCGGACAGCGCTGGCCCCCGGCCTCTTAAGCAAGTTGGGCGCGCAACCCTAGAGTCTGGCAAGACTGGCCCGTACGGGCAGGGGTACCTTTACCTTTACCAGAAGCATCATTCTGCAAAACTGCTCTGGAATAAATGTCTCACACACTAGTGAAGTGGATGTGTTCCAGATGTTGACAAAGACAAGACTTGATGATACTCATTCTCGCATGCATAAGCAAGTGGGGTGTGTTGTGTCTAATGTATTGTACGCTGTGCTGTAGTTAGTGCATTTGGTTCAAAAACTACATTCTCTGCCCATTTCAGAATTTACTTTGCTGCTGCTGCTACATTCTAGGAACCAGGCAGATATTTTAAAGCATCCCTTTCTGTAATTGGACCAGGATGACTGGGTCACCATGGTATTAACTTGAAATGTTGCTACATGCAGATCTTGCGCTTTAATCGTGGAAGGAGCCTGAGGAAGAAGAGGGACAGACTGAAAGAGGAAAGGCGTGCTCAGTCTGTACCAAGAGATGAAGTGGTGCAAAGCAAGGTACAGCCAGCTTTCTATGTAGTGAAGGCAAGGAATGTGGTCTGAGTGCTTGAGTCCCCCACCTCTTGAAAGTATTTTTTTCATCTGCCATGAGTGTTTCACCTTTTGCGTTGTTGTGCTTTAAGCACCTGGAGGAAAATAATTAGTACCTGCATTACAACCTAGGTGAGCCCTCTTCGGTTGCTGCTGCTGCTCTGTTTGGAATTTTGAGAACTGTTGTGTTCAGGACTGAATGTGAGAACTTATCAGAGAGCAAAGATCAGGATCTCTAGCCCCCTTGCCTGTGTGTGCTTTTATTTTGAAACAGGGCAGTGCCTCAGCTGCTGATGACACTCACAGCAGTGACCAGGCCCTTCAGGGGAGAGGTGACATGAAAGAGGAAGCACAGTTGCCTTTATCAGAGCTCAGAGGGAGGAAGAATAAAAAGAAGAAACCAAGAGAAAAGGTACCGGCAGATGCAGAATGACAGCGGGAGGGCACTCTTAATCCAGGCAGTTTCTCTCATCTCCTTCCATTCATGGGCAGGCTTTCTAAAACATGCCTACTTTTGGTGCCCTCTGTCAGAGACATCATCCACATTTCTATAGTTTTCATCAACATTTCTAAGAGAATGGGCCATGGGGTAGCTGACCTTCAGCCAGAGGGGAACAATGGGCCCCACAGATTTCTGTGTCCCCATTTGCTTAAAAAAAAGTATAAGAGTAGTAGTAGTTGCTGCTGTTAATATCATCACCAGCTTCTGTGAATCCCTTATGCCAAGTGAGAGGCCTGAAGGGTTGACCATGGGTGATTGCAGCACACAGCCTTAAAAGGATTAGCTGCTCCTGCTCTTGACCATGGGGAGGAGGTTTGGGTCCAGACTTCACATGAGCAGACTGCTGCTCAAAGGATGCTCCACAGAAGAAAGAGGTGGAGGCAACTTTTACTGATTCCTTTTTCCAATGTTCCTCCTGTTGACCTGCTCTGGAAGGTCAGGGGACCCTCTGGAAGTTATTAAAAGTAACACTGGAGGGGGAAAGGGGAACTGGCGGAAATTGCCTCCCTCCCTTCCTGCAATGGGGCCCTCCACTGGATCAGAGGCCTTTTTGCAAATGGAAGAAGCCCTTTTATTCACAGAAAGGTATTCTTGGGGCCAATTATTCTTTAATATGTGTTGAAATCTAGGCAGAATAGTGGGTGCTGAGTGCATTTAACAGAAGCACAAGTTCATAGCATGTTGTGGTTCAACCCATTTTCCAAAACAGTTTGCAGAGCCTGATGAGCAGCAAACGGGAATATGGATTTGAATGAATGAAAACAAGTCCATATGGCGGCCACATTTGCGCGAGTGCATTTCATCACTTAAATTGGGCAGTGGTAGCAAATGTAACAGGAGAGATAACATTTGACACGTTATTTTGACAATTTTATTGGGTTGTTTGAAGAACACAGTTAGCTTTGAATTTGGGTATCACCTTAAAATGGATATTGTGTGAAACAGTCTGATCCTGAAGAATGTGGAATGTTTCATATGCGTCCCCAGCAAAGTTTAATTAGACCTTGTTATGGAATACGGGGGAAAGGGGGCTTTTTGTATGCCAATAGATAAGTTATCATGAGTGCTACATTTGCACTCATGGAGAATGAATGTGCTGGAATAAATGGGTTTTTTTAAATGCTGTATTTTTTAAAACAAATCAGGTTTTGGCACTCTCTGAACCCACATCACCAGCTGATCAGCAAGTGCCTCCTAACCCACAGCAGAATTTGCCAAAACGCAAGAGCAAGCGCCGCTGCGCATCTCCTCCACCTCCCCATGAATTCAGAGCCTACCAGTTGTATACACTTTACCGTGGAAAGAATGGGAAAATCATGCAGGTAACTATGCACTTTGTAATTGGATTAACAGGCATGTACACTCTTCAGAGGGTAGGGGACAGAAAAGGATTTAAAAGTTAAATATACTAACTTTCTGTCTTGTGCCTTTGTGGGCCGCCCCAGCCCGGAAGCCTATTTCTGCCTGAATGAAGGACGGTTTGTGTGTATGTAGGAACCTCTGACTTCTGGGTGGCTGGAATGTAGCCTGTACAGAGTTAAGAGTCACATCCATTGCTCTGCCTGTTTTTGCCTCTGGTACATAAGCCCCTACATTTCCCCCGAGGTAGCACAGTCCTTGACCTGAAAAAGGTTCACCACCTCTTTTAGAAAGATTACAAGCGAACAAACTTACATTTCCAATGAAAGAGACTTCCTCGTTTTAGGTTTTTCTTTAACAAGAAGCTGGAGGGACTACAGAAGCTGTGTTGGCATAGCATTAATAGAGCATCACAGAGATCTGATCTTAACCATGTGAGCTAAGGGAGCATACACTGGTAGCCTCTAAGCTGCAGTCAATGGGAAATGCTGTGGTTCTACCGTAGACTCATTTTTACAGCAGCAGGTCAAGTGAGTTATTTGTTTAAACTATTGGCTGTAGTTGTGCTTTTCTTAAACAGCTAATATCTTGCCGTTTTTCTCCCTAAATGAACAAAGGCCCTCTGTATACTCTAAATGTGAAGGATGAACTCTTGAGAGAAAAAAGGTCCAGGCAAATTTATTTTATTTTCATTTCCTACTGCATATTTGTTTTCTCCCTGGAGACTCCAAGCAGTACTGTTTGTTGTGGTTGCTTTGCTGTCCTTTGAGCCAATCATAGTTGTTATTAAGATACAGGGGATGTGTTGTCACAGTTGTTTTGTTTCTTGCAGGCACCAATAAACGGATGTCGTTGTGAGCCACTGATAGATAAAGTAGAGAACCAGCTGGCAGCCGCTGTGGAAGAAATAAAAGCGGAGCTTGTTACAGCGCAGGATAAGATGAACAGCAAACTAGGTCAAATGGAAAACAAAACTCAGCATCAGGTAAGGAAACATTCCATGGACAAAGTATTTCTTCAAGCACCAGGAGCCTGATTAAAGCCTATAGGGGTTGGTCTGCATCAGGAATGGGGGACCTCTAGCCCGTAGACTATACTCTTGGCCAACAGGGGGTCCAAGTTGGCCCATGAAGCCATTTCCCCCAAATCATACCCACCTGTTCACCAGCTGATGTCGCTGGGTCAACTGATATAGGCAGGGTCCCATTCCCTGGGAGAACACACTGGAGTAGCAGAACCTGCAGCTTATCCTGTTGGTGAGCAGAGGGTGCAACCCTGTTCCATGTTTCTCTTCCCCACCTGTCAATCACCTTACATCAGAACGACACCAGGTGATGCAGACTTCAAAAAGCAGGGTGAGCTGATTTGAAAGCCCTTTTGCAAACAGCTCCACGCTGCTCTTTGAAAATGAGGTTTTAAAGAATAGTGAGGGGCTGTTTACAAAAGAGCACTGACTGTCACTAGGTCTTCAGGGGTTTGCCCATCTGTCAGATTTGGCCCTCCTAGGGGTGGGGAGACACAAGGATCTGGCCTGCCAGCCAGGAAACAGTTCTCCACTTCTGGTCTACTTATTACAATCTTCAGGTGGAGGCTGCTTGAAACTCATAACGTGGCAATCTTTTCTATGTGGCTGTTGCCCCATGGAGTAGCCAGACCTGGCCTAGCCAGACATTAGTTAATTGTATTTCTGGAGGGGCTGCAATGCAGGACATACTGGCACTACTCTCCTTGCCAGACATTCCTGCACTGAGCAGGGAGGTCTGAAAAGCCTTGGGAAGCAAGCAGGGTTTAGAATTACCAGAAATCTGCCTTGACCACTGCAGTATCTCTTATTATTATCAAGGTATCACCTTGATCATTTGTTTATTGTGTCACTCCTTAGAGTCATACCTGCAGCCAACTGAAATAACCTGCAGTGTTTTTAAAAACACTGAAAGGAATACTTTTATTCACACAGTTTCACAAATGCCTTTTCTGCTGTCCTTTTTAGATGCAATTTTTGCCCTTGGTAAGTTAAATTACCAGTACAGTAGTGCCCCGCAAGACGAACGCCTCGCAAGACAAAAAACTCGCTAGACGAAAGGTTTTTTCGTCCGCGATTTGCCTCGCAAGACGAATTCCCCTATGGGCTTGCTTCGCAAAACGAAGCTTGCCCCGGGGACAGCGGGTCTTCTCTTTTGAAGCAAGGGGCTGGGGGGAGATAGCGATCTCCCCCCAGCCCCTTGCTTCAGAAGAGGTCCGGGGGAAGCGAAGCGCTTCGCTTCCCCGCTTCCCCCTGACGTCTTTTGCAGCTGTTCCGAAGTGGGGCGGGGGGGCGGGGTCACCTGCCCCAGCCGCCCCACTTCGGAAAGCTGTTCCGAAGCGGGGAGGGGGGGCGGGGACATCTGCCCCAGCCGCCCCACTTCGGAAAGCTGTTCCAGGAACAGCTCCATAGGAACCTCCATAGGCGCCCGTCACCTCTCCAGCCAGGAGAGCGCGCGCGGGGCTAAACCAGCCCCCTGCGACCCTCTCCCAGCTGGAGAAGTGACGTGCGCCTATGGCAGGAGCCTCCATAGGCGCCCGTCACCTCTCCAGCCGGGAGAGCGCGCGCGGGGCTAAACCAGCCCCCCGCGACCCTCTCCCAGCTGGAGAAGTGACGCGCGCCTATGGCAGGAGCCTCCATAGGCGCCCGTCACCTCTCCAGCCAGGAGAGCGCGCACGGGGCTAAACCAGCCCCCCGCGACCCTCTCCCAGCTGGAGTTGTGACGCGCGCATATGGCAGGAACCTCCATAGGCGCCCGTCACCTCTCCAGCCGGGAGAGCGCGCGCGGGGCTAAAGAAACCATAGCCCCGCGACCCTCTCCCAGCTGGAGAAGTGACGCGTGACTATGGCAGCAGCCTCTGAAGGATGCACCGAAGCCTGGCGTGGGGGGGGGGGCGGAGAGACCTTCTCCCCGCGCCAGCCTTCGGATGGCTGTCCTGAAGACTTGGGGTGGGAGAAGGGTTTTCCTTCCCACCGCCAACATTCAGAATGCTGTTCTGAATGTTGGCGGTGGGGAGGAAAAACCCTCCTCCCACGCAAGCCCCGGGAACAGAGGGAAAGCGCTGCGCGCCTTCCCCTCTGTTCCCGTACCTGTGCTGAAGGCTTGCGGTGGGGAGAAAAGCCCTTCTCCGCACCGCCAGCCTGGCAAGCGGTTTCCCTAGGAACGCATTAATTGATTTTCAATGCATTCCTATGGGAAACCGTGCTTCGCAAGACGAAAAATTCGCTAGACGACAAAAATTGCGGAACGAATTAATTTCGTCTTGCGGGGCACCACTGTAGTAAAGTAATGAGGTTTAATAAGTCAGCCTATGCATTGTTGTCATTTCTGCTGTGCTTTCCTCTTTTTATCACAGCTCCGTGTTTTGGACAAATTGATGGCAGAGAGGCTGTCAGCAGAAAGAACAGAGTGCCTTCATCGTCTTCAGGAGCATGCCGAGTTGGAAAGGCATGAAGGGGAGAAACGCCAGGTAGATTAGAAAATAAGTATCTCGTGGAGCATATAAGACAATGAGGAATCTGAAACTTTCCATTTAAGATACACAGAAAAGAGTGCTTATCTAAAAGAATGACAAGCAATTTTAAAAAGAAAATTATCTGGTTATAGTGAGATACATTTTCATTTTGAGCAGTCATAGATAGCTTACTTGGGTGGTTGGAAATAAGCCATTTAAATATGTTTCTTGACGGCAGCTTATCCATTTCAGTGATCTTATGTAAAACCTTTTTGCAAGATGCTTAAACAAACCCATATTCTGAGGAAATATCTGCTTCTCATTTGATTTTTGTGGTGTCATAATTTGACTGCCTTTTAGGTAGGTAACATTTGAACTTCGTTTTAGAAACCCAGCAGGAAAATGCTTTCAGAATGTCTCTTAAAACTTCTATTTCCTTACTTATTAAGAAAAAAGTCAACAACCCCGTGCATTGGTGAACATGGGGGTGCAGTAAAGGTAAAGGACCCCTGACAGTTAAGTCCAGTCGCAAATGTCTCTGGGGTTGTGACGTTCACCTCGCTTTACTGGCCAAGGGAGCTGACGTTTGTCCGCAGCAGTGGTTGGTTACATTATTAGATCTGATCTGGGAGGTTAAAAACTTCACGTAGGTCAATATATTTTTTTAGCCAAGCGGAAGGATGAAATATAAAATGATTAAAAAGAATGCTCCTGCTTGCTATCCTCAAGAATCTTCATATTTGTTCTGACATTTTTATGGCTCTAATGCAGCAATAATAATCTTACAGCAATGTCCTACTCCCCATTTTGGTAGAATAAGCAAGACGCTATCTCCAGACATACTACGCTAGCAATTAATAATGGCTATTGCATATAATGCTACAGTAAATCATGGTATAATTACAGTGTTCCAGGCCAATACACCAATGCAAATGTTCCATTTCAGTGTGCAAGAGTGCAGATCGGATCCATTATTGCTAGGGTCTTTCAAAGAAAACATTCATTATCCCAAAGCTAGATTTGTAAACTTCCTTATTATATAGGACGCTAAGTTCTCTTTAACTCAGTAGATCAGGCTGCAACAATAATCTAGCATGCATTTAGCTGCTAAAACTAATAGACTGTCATTTGATGGCCTCTGATTTGTACATGGGTTTTTCCCTTACAGATATCGTTGGTGGGGGAACTGAAAGCTTGGTGCATGCTAAAAATTCAGAACCTGGAGTTGAAGCTTTCTGGAGACTCTAGATCTTCAAGGCCAAAATCAACTCTGTCTACATGTGAGTCACTCGCTGAGACTTTGGATACAGAGAACCTTCCTTGTACGAAGGACTGTAAAGCTAGCCAAACCCCACTGCAGTCGGATGGTTCGCAGCAACATTCTTGCACTGCCCTTCAGAATAGTGTCTCGGAAGATACTGGAAGAAGTAGAGTGCCCACAACAGAGCAGAGCTTTGGGAAGCAGTATTTTGTTGTTCAAGAAGCCAACACTCCAGGTATCTTTTTGTTAGTAGTTTGTGGAGGGGAAAGCTATGCTAGAGTATTGTGGCAAAGAATTTGTAATATTAGGGAGCACCCCCTCCAATGCCATCAGATCCTCTTCCACACTGATCAGACACATTTTGGATTAGTGCTTGTCCCAATTAGGTGATGGCTGGTATTCCTTGTCTCTGGTTGAGACAATGAATACCGGAAAGTGGTTGAGAGAATGAGCTATGATTAGTTATGCGTGCACCCCCTTAACAGGAATAGTGGGTCAGAGGTTCCTCACTCCTGCTGTAAATACTGTATTTTTCGCTCCATAAGACGCACTTTCCCCCTCCTAAAAAGTAAGGGGAAATGTGTGTGCGTCTTATGGAGCGAATGCAGGGGGGAGGCAGGCAGGAAAAGCCCCCAAAACCGCACACAAGCTCTCCACGTCAGTCCCTTCTCCCTCCTTGTAGAAAAGCCCGCAGGAGCCGCACGCTCCTTAAAGGGTGCGTGGCTCCTGTGGGCTTTTGCAGGAGGTGGGGGTATTGCCATAGCCGTGTGCAGCCTCTTCCTGCCGGAGGGGCTGCACGTGCCTTGGCAAAAACCAAGACAGCGAGCGGGATGGATCCTGCTTGCTGTCTTGGCTTCCTCTTTAGCCCCGAGCAGCCTCTCCCGGCTGGAGAGAGCTTTGGGGCTGGGGTGGGGGAACCCAGGCTTCCCTGGCAGCCCCGAGAAGCTCGCGGAGCAGTCTTTCCGCTGCTCCCCGACCTGCTCTTTGGGGCTGGTGGCAGGCTTCCCCCCGCCAGCCCCAAAGAGCAGGTCGAAAGGAACCCGAAGCCTCCGGAGCGCAGCGGAACTCCTGCCGTGCTCCGGAGGCTTCAGGTTGCCTTCACCGAAGCCTGGAAAGTGAGAGGGGTCGGTGCGCACCGACCCCTCTCGCTCTCGAGACTAAAGGCGACTGAATGCACCTTGAACGGCACCTTGTTTTAGAAGGGGAGAACAAGAAAAAAATTTCTCCCCCTCTGCGCAGCGCCTCCTGCTACTTCACTGAAGGGGCGCTGGGTAGAGAGGGAGAGATTTTTTTCCTTCTTGTTCTTCCCCTCTAAAACAAGGTGCATTCTATAGAGCGAAAAATATGGTAGGCCTGGGTGCTGTATTGATACATCACCCAGGAACAGTATGGAGGGCAGATTGTGATGGTGGCTTCACGCGGCGGTATATTGTGGGTGAAACGACACCACACCCGAGACCAGTGACCCAATATTGAAAGTGGCGCTGGTAGCAGAGGGTCTTGGGTGTGATGTCTGTTTCACCCACAATATACCACTGGGTGAAGCCCCTATCACAATCTGCCCTCCATACGGCAGAGAGAGGAGCAAGCTATATTGGAGGGCCGATGCAGCTTGTTATTTAAACATCCCATGATATCAGCAGAACACGATGTTTCACCAACATAGCCAATCCTCTACAGCTAAGGCTGGGCAGAGAGAGTTGAAGCAATTTAGCACACAGTTTGACATTCTTCAACACCTTCAGTACAGGGGGTAGTCCTTTGAAACAATCGTAGTATTCAGGGCTTTTTTTCAGCCAGAACTCACTGGAATGGCGTTCTGGCACCAGAAGGGGGTGGGGAGACCCACTCTGGAGAGGCATTGGCAGGGGCTCGTTCAGCTGTGGTGTGGAAGCCTCTCCTGAGGAGTCTCAACAATAGGCCTGGATGATACATTGCCTGGGACCAGAGTGCGACAGTGGCTTCACCCTCTGGTACATCATGAGTGAAACTGCAGCCACTCCTCACTCATGTTGCCACTAGTACGCTGGTGGCAGAGGGACTCAAGAGTGGCTGTGGTTTCACTTGTGAGGTACCACTGGGTAAAAACCACCATCACGCTCTGGCCCTCATAACACAGAGGGACCATGCAGGCAGGCAGCTTCTTTAAACTGTACCGCTGAGGAGTGCACAGCTGCCTGCCTGTGCTCCAGCTGCCTTCAGACAGGCAGAAAAAACTCCCAACTACTACACCTCCCCTCCTCAGGGGGATAGGGAATTTCCAACATAGATCTATCACCACCAACCAAGTGCACCACATAATCCCATATGTCTTAGAAGATAAGACGAAACAATGTGACTATCACTGTGCGTACCCAATCGAAAACACCCCCACCATAGCATACCCATTCCTTCAAAACTAAGAAAAATCCCCACAACACTAAACTAGGAGACGCCCAAATACCCTGGAAAACACACCACCTTAAACAATCTAGCAGTAAAAGCAGCAGCCACTAGGCCTTGGACCAACTTCGAAAACCACCTCCTGACAACAGAGGGACATGCCATGGTTTCCACAAGATACAAAATACTAGAATCCCATAAAACCCCTCATCTCAATCAAAAGGGAGCACAACATAGGTTACGAAATAAACCCCGCCTGATGGATTAAAGGAATGTTTAATCCATCTCAGCCAAAAGAATGGAACTCACCTTGAAACCTATCTACAGATGGTAGCTGGCACTGATACACCCAGGAACCCCACCAAAATGCTGGAGAGGCTGCACCTCCACATGTGGTGGGAATGCCCCAAAACCCAACCCTTTTGGACCTACAAGAAATATGCAAAATAACTAAGCATTAGAAACCACCCCAGAACTGGCCTTATTTAAAAGTTTCCAAGACAATAATTCTCACACTATAACCCACCTACTCTCAACAGCCAGGAGCATCATAGCTAGACACTGGAGGGACCTGTCAGGAGTGAACATGGACCACTGGTACTAAACAAACTGAAGCTAGCATGGGCACAAATAAGAATGGTTTCACCCTGGTGTGGCTCCCCTTTGTTACACACACAGCCCAACAAGAACCCACCGACAGCATATGAACTGATATGGCTAACTTGACCCAACAACCCCTCCACCTCACTCACTGCAGTCAACTGAAGGCAACAAACCATGCCCTGGAGTCCCCAATCTCCCTCACTGCCAATGAAAACTAGTAAATGAATAGTAAGAGAACCTACCCACGTGACACTGGCACAAAAACCTTACACATACACTATGTAAATGAATGAAAGTTTACTCCCCCCCAACCTTATACTGTCTGTAACATAAGCGTATAACTGATCTGAAGAAAGAATTCTATGAACGGAAAGCAGAGACACTGAATGTACTTTTGTAACCCAAGAAAACCTTTAATAATTTTTTTTTAAAAAACCAACTCAATAACTGTTCATATTAACCTTATTTACAGGAATAGAGCAACAGTTAGTTGGTGCTGGCCCAACTCCCACTGCAGTTTCTCCTCAAGTTGTAAGGCCCAAAGACAAAGCAAGTTTCAGCAGATTGAAACAAGAACTGCCACCATCTGAATACTCAGGCTCCAAACTGAGACATGCAAAGGTACAAACTGTTTCCAAGACCCCTACCGAATTTACAAAGACTGAGGCGGAGAGAGGAGGCTGCTTTATAGATAAAGGAACTCAAACGAAGAGGTCTGGCAGAAGTGGTCAGTTGAAGCACAGGCCTCAGCAACATGCAGGCACCCACTCTGCAGAGCAGCTGCCGCCACCACCTGCTGTCTCTGGAGGAAAAGAGGTCAGCCCTCAACTTGCAGGCACTTCTCAAGCTCTGGAAATCACACAGTACTTTTTTGAGGCTGTATCCAGCCAGATGGAGAAGTGGTATGAAAGGAAGATTGAAGAAGCTCGGAGCCAAGCCGACCAGAGAGCCCAGGAAGATAAAGCACTCCTCAAAGAACATATAAAAAGTTTAGAAGAGGAACTCTATAAGCTAAGGACTAAAGTGCAGAAGGAACATTAGCATTTGCCTGCTCTCATGAAGTGTTGCAAAGGAACTGATAACTTTCACAAACAACAATTAAGCTAATTTTATTGGAATTTTACACTTCTTGGGGATTTGTGGCCTTTCCAGATTATAAGGATTTTTGCTCGTGCATTGCTCACAAGGAATGCAGATTGCTGCCCTCCAAGTAGCACTTGTTTTGTACAGAAACTGCATTGAATTTTCCTTCCCCTGTTAAAAATGTTTCTTTTATCCCTATACAGTGTGCCAGTGGTGATAGTATAATACAGAACATAGTTGTGTGGCTTTTCAGTGCTGATGATACAGCTCTCCAGTATGCCTGTGCCATTTTTATGAATCTTGTAAAGTTTTATTTTATACGTATTTAAGACATGTTTTTGAAGCGAAGCATTCTCTTGCTCTACCATATGTGCTCATGTATCTTTTTGAAAATAAAAGAATTAAGCGCCCCAAATTAGCAAGGCTACCTCTTCCTCCTTCATAGAACTGCATTGCCATTTTATGAATCCTATGGGTTCCCCTACCCCAGTACAGATAAGAGTAGCCTGTATGGGGAACTGTGTGCAAACAGGTCATGCAAGTGATTTTCAAGTCCTATCTAACACTTTGTGCTGCCTATGTGTACTTTTGTCATACCGTTTTACTGATCAGCTTTTGGGATGGAGGTGCTGAAGTTTTAGTCCTTCCAACCAAAAAGCTAATTGGCCTACTTGCAGCCAGAAATAACATTAAATATAGGTAGATATTGAGTGCCTTTGAGTTACAGTAAATTCCTAAAAGTTAACGCCTTGTCCTTGTATAGTGATGGTCAACTGGTGGTCTGTGAGCTAAATATGGCCTTTTTAGCTGGGTCCTGATGCCCCAGCCAACTTCTAACCAAGGTGTGGTACCTTGTTTCACTCAAAGGAAAAAATATACTGCTAGATAGTAGCAACATGTTCTTCTGGCCTACTAACTGTTATTTGGAGAATAGAAGAGTCCTTGCAAATACAGAAATGGGCCGTATTTTCTAAATTAGATTCTGTCTTCACTGCACTTGCCCCACATGAATTTCATCTTTTAACAAAAAGTTTTAAAACTTGCCTTAAGGTTTCTATGCACAATTGGCCCCTGATGGATTGTGTAGTCTCAAGTCTTCAAATTATACTGTTATTCAGCCTTACTTTATTTTTAAATATATCTTGAGTGCTGTGATATGTGTCAAGAGGTGTTTTTTTCACCCAGGGTGGTAATCTTTAACATTAACGTTGGCATGACACTTAGGCAAAAACAGCTATTGCTTTTAAAAGTTCAACAGCCTGATGCAGCTAAAGAAATCTAGTGTATGTAAGCAGACTTGCATATATATTTTGCACATCTTAGTGAGGATGCAATATATTAATATTGTATGCCTCCATGATTGTGCTTGGCTAGCCCTATTATTGCACAACTAATGCTGAATTGAGGCCAAATCTGTTGTGATTTAGAAATAGTTCTCCAGGCACAGATCTTACCTCTCATGTAAGAGTATAAACATTTTGAATGAAGTCCTTAAAGAGAGATGGTTGTATACGAAAAGTACATAAAGCTCTTTATGCACAAAATCTCAATCCAAATACTCTACATTTTTTACATTCATGTGCTTCTATGGCCTAAATCTATGCTGCCCAAAGTGGGGTATAATTTAAATCCTACAATGAATTTAAATCCGATAATCCATAAATCTATAAGCATATTAAATGTGCCTAGGTTATAATTGTTACAATTTGGAGGTGGTGGTGTTGGGTTGTGTGATATAGCTAAAAAAGCCATTTTTAACACCAAAATCCATATTTAAGGTAGGCCAAACAAGCTAATAGTGCACTATCACAAAGTAAGTCTGCAGATTTTTGTGTTCTTCAAAACTCTTTGTCAGGGTAGAACTGAGCAGTGGTGGAAAAAAGTTGGCTGATGTTGAAGACATGGAGCCTGTTATCTCACCACAGTCTTAAAATGGAATGGAAGGGCGTAGCAGACAATCTAACTGAATGTTTTCCCCCGTTATAGAATTATAGAGTTAGAAAGGATCCCCATTGGTCATCTGGTCCAACAATCCCCTACAATGGAAGAATCTCATCCAAAGCCATCCAACCTCTACTTGAAAACCTCCAAGGAAGGAGAGTCTACAAGCTCCCATGGGAGTCTGTTCCACTGTTTAACTGCTCTTTATGTCAGAAAGTTCCTCCTGATGTTTAGTTGTAATCTCCATTCTTATAACTCGAATCCATTGTTTCGAGTCCTACTATCTGGAGCAGGAAAAAACATATTAGGTTGCACTAAGCCTGCTGGAAACAAGCAGCGTAACTGACTATCCTCCATCTCTGGAAACACACAGAATGTCTCATCAAAAATTTACTAAAGGTTTCCTGCATTCTGTTCATTTTGAGTATCCTATTGTTTTCAGGCATGGGTGCATTAGATGTGCATGGGTCACCCTCTGGGGGTTTCAATGGATTTCAGAAGTGTTAACTGCCCTCAGAAGTGTCAAGAGCAGCACCTTAAGAACAACTACTTAAGATAGCGCACACCTCCCATATTATTACAGACCTAGTTCAGAACTAGAAATCTCCGTGTTTCAACCTCTTATGAGCTGCTTCCCATCACACCTGAACCTTAAAAAAAATCTCAACACTCACACCTATAGCAGTACTAGCTGCTTTGTTTAAGTCTACTTACCAATAAGGGAGTCTGCACAGAAATCAGTTTGGTTGTGTGAGAGGTCCTTCCATGGCAGTCTTTTGAAGGAGACACACTGAAAAAACAAATACTGTGTTCCACCATCAGTGAATGATCAGGCTACGATTTTGCCAGCTTTAGTGTTCTCTCAAGCTCTTCAAGCTGTAGGTTGCCCTGAGTGATCATCATCCTAATTGTGTCCTGCAAAGCAGAAATTATATACTTAGTAGGCACATGCAAGGCAATAGGCATTCATACACTGAATCTGTTTTATTTCAACAAATGTTTTATCAGTCTATATTTACATCCATAAAATTTGCAACTAATGATCTCACCCCAAAGGCTGCTCTACATATTAGGGCTACTCCTAGAGGGCACTTAGAAAGGCCTCTGCTTATGTTACATACATACATGTTTAGGAAGCAAAGAACCAACAGCTGCACTAGCATAAACTTTTTGAAATGGGAATGCAAGATAAAGTTTCTTGGTCATTTCCTAAGTGTTCTATGATTGCAGGTAATCCTTATTATATTTTACACCACCCTTCCTCTGAGAGGAGCTCAGGGCTGACACACACTAATTGCAAATGAACAGTAATACAGCATTAAGAGAATCTGACAACTATAGCAGGTGAGGCATATTGTGTTAATAAAAACAGTCACTATTCTGCAGGGCCTAGGATAAACAGGCACATCTTGAAAAGATGCCAGAATACTCACACCGTGTGTGGCAAATGAATCTCTATGACAGGGATGGGGAACCTGACCACAACAGGCAACAATGACAGGTGGGCAGGGACACCCTGTTAATCACCTAACATCATTATTGTATTCAGTCATGAGACTGTGCCACTGGAGCTCATACATACATACATAAAATGTTAAGGCCACAGAAAAGTATCAGAGCTGTTAAAAACCACCTATCTACTATACCAGCCTTTCTCAACTCTGGGTCCCTAGATATTGTTACTACAACTCCTATCATTCCTAGCCAGCATGGCCAGTGGACAGGGATTATGGGAGCTGTAGTTCAAGAACATATGGGGACCCAAGGTTGAGAAAGCCCACAGTATACTGAAGCAGTATTTAAGAGTGAAACACAAGAATATTAAACTTGGTGACATCTGTCTGCAGACAAAGTGCTGACCTAACAAATGCCTTTGGTGCTATCAACATCTACCTCAGGGGTAGGCAACCTAAGGCCCCCCCGGGTGGCCAGATGCGGCCCAATCGCCTTCTCAGTCCGGCCCGCAGATGGTCTGGGAATCAGTGTGTTTTTACATGAGTAGAATGTATCTTTTTATTTAAAATGCATCTCTGGATTATTTGTGGGGCATAGGAATTTGTTCAGCCCCCCCCCAAATTATAGTCTGGCCCCCCACATGGTCTGAGGGATGGTGGACCAGCCCACAGCTAAAAAAGGTTGCTGACCCGTTCTACCTGGTCCAATGTGGCTCAACTATTCCCCTCCCAATTCACTCTGAGCCACGGTTATCCTTTAGTAAGGGAAGGATATGGCACACGGGATGGATTCATTTAAGTATTATAACATATAACCATAAAAAAATTGGATCTTGTTAATTTCGCACAGCAAGGTATTACAGCCCATAAAAATTAGTTGAAATATTAGCCAATTACTTCAGAGGGTTTACCCCAATGACCAGTTTGGGGTTTTACATAGTGAGCCTTGGAAATCCCCATTCTTGAGTCATTTAATCAAATATTCCAAATTTGTCCAGTCTACCGTGGCACCTCTTGCAGGTGAGACAGAGTGATAATTATTCCCAGTCATTATGAGGTGTTCTGAACAGGCTGTTTGGAAGTCTCGGAGAAGACATCTTCATGAGCCAGGAATACAGGTTCAACCTTCAACTGCAGTGTACCAAGTCAGCAGAACCCCAAGTATTTCTCACCTCGTCTGTAGCACCTTTGTTTCTTTTGAAGTCTTCCCTTGCCCAGTCCCTGAGGTAATGGCGATCAGCTTCATTAGGCACCTGACGAACAGCCTTCAGAATTTTTCTATACAACTGAAGGACCTGCTGCCTTCTCAAGAACTGCAAGGTATCAAGAAAAATAAAGGATGACCCTTTTATTGTTTGCACAATCTAGTGTGTTTTTAAAAAACTTTTAAAATTTAAAATTAAAACAAAACATATTATCCAGAAACATATCGTCCTTTTTTCCTCCCTCCCTCCCTCCACCCTCCCACACAAAACCCACCCATCTAGTGTTGATCATGTGCTCACATCCTCATGGAAAGGTGTCTTAAACCGAGTCAGGTGACTGATAAAACTTTTGTATTCGTTGTCTATTCCAGGGATGTCAACCTGTAGCATGCTAGCTGGGGTTGTTGGCAGAGTCCAAAAACATCTGGTGACATGTTCCACCCTTCATCTGCTCTGAATGTCAGGTCTCTCCAGATCTCAAGTAGAGATCTAGCCCAGAGATCCTTTTAACTGGAGTCTGAATCTGTGTATATACCATATTTTTCGCTCTATAACACGCACCTGACCATAACACGCACGTCGTTTTTAGAGGAGGAAAACAAGGGAAAAAACATTCTGAATGAAACAGTGGATGTATCATTTTTGTGCTTCATGCTGTGGCCACAGACATGTGATCTGATGGTGAATTTGGGGTGACCCAATGCAAAATTCCTGAGAATCCCTGTGGATCCATGCTTTGTAACCACGTTTTTGCACCATTGCAGCCCCAGGCAACAGTGGGTGTGTGATTTTTGGGGGGCAGGTTGTAGCCATGGACA